CTTTCCTGTGGTTTTTTATACTAAGAAAAGACAGGAGGGAAGAAAGGAAAAGCTATGTAATTGCAAAGGTTCTAGTAAAAATGCTCTAAGACTGACTCAAACTGAAGTATGTAGCTTTGGTGAGGAAAGACATTACTCAATAAACATTCAGTGTCACTGAATTATAATTATGTTCACATCTGGAAACATGATTAAGAAACTTAGGACTTTCAGTGGATTCAAGGCCTTATTAACTTAGTATACTAATGTGTAAATAGAGTATGTAAGTGCTTTAATGAAAATGTATTTGAAGCACTAGTGTAGAATTGGGTTTAAAGTTGTGAGGCTTATCAGGTGAAAGGAACAGCATTCATTCACCATCAACAAACCGTTAGGTGATGACTATATTCTAATAAGTGTCCCAGACACTGGGAATATAGTGAACAAAACTATTGTAACAAGACCCCTGGTTTATGCAAACAATGAACAAATTAAGTGTAATAAGGGAAAGTTTTGACAAGAGAAGAGAATGTGACTTGGGGGAGATTGGATCAGTTTAGATAAAGGAGTGTTTTGAGGAACTCTGTGCTGTAAAATGTATGAAAACAGGTTCTGGGGACAAATTAGATTGAGAATCACCATCCTTATAAGTTCTGCCCTAAAGAAACTTCAATATTCTGGAGTAAACAATCAAGCAATGCACTACACATGCAAGCCTAGTGAGTCATCACTAGGATTTTGTGAGTTAAAATTCCAAAGAATGTGCGAGAAGCTGATCCAGTGTGTAAGGACCCTAGTGTCCAGATGGGAGGGAGAGAGTAGGGTCTGATGAGGAAGGCCTTTTGAGTCATGTTGAAGTATCTGTGCCCCATTCACAGCTGGGAGCCAGGATTAGAATTACATTTTATAAAAGTTACTTTGGTAGTTGTGTGGAAGCTGTCATGAATGGGGGGGAGGGGGAGTATAAATCAAGGAGCTTTATGAAAAACTAACCCTTGATAGGGGAAGTAAACACAATGGTTTATGGTGGTAATACCTTGATGGGGTACTCCAGTATTACCTCAGTTAAAAATAAAAGTTTTTAAAAGTTAAAAAAAAAAAAAAACACAAGAAGCTTTATAATAGAGAATGGTGAGGGCCTGAAAAGTGGGAGGAAAAGGTAGGTTTTGAAGACATCCAGAGATACAATCCATTCAGTCAGAGAACTAGTATTTATAAAAAATGAAGACTTAGGAAACGTGCCCCAAATCTGCCAGTAAATGAAGATCACAGCAGAGTTTTAAGGCTGTGGCAGGCTACATTTTGCTGAGTATGTGAGAAATGGAAGCAAAGTAGTGTGTTCAAAACTGTTCCAGACTCTGCATCTCTACCACGTTTTCTTTCACCTTTGAAATAAAGGAAGGTTAGAAATGGAGTGGAAAAATACTAGCATGGACTAGTTTCGAAAAGTTGAGCTTTTAAGGAAAAAACAAGCTTGTTATCACATTTAAACGAGACAGAATATGACCTTGAATTAGAAACAGATTAACTGCATGTCTGATTGGTGCATTCATCACACCTTGCTGTACAGCACTCTGCGAAGCCAAGGCTGAGCAGGTGGCTACATTCTGCTGCCAGGTAGTCATCTGGACCTCACTGGCAGGCACTGAAGCAAAGGCAGAGAGGAAGTTGCAGATGGCAGGGAATATTAGAAAGCATTAGGACAAAAGAAGGAAGTGTATTGCTAAGTTATATTACCTACATTTCTATAGCACAGTTGATCATCAGCTGCCAGTGACCAATCACCAATCAAATCAGAAAAGCACACTTTATTTGCTCTGTGTTCCTACACTACCAGGGTATCTTACTTAACTACTGTATTAGAATTCAAAGCTAAAACAGTAATATGCTTTGTTGATGAAATAGTGGAGGAGATATACTTAGCAAATACAAATATAATGTACCTTTTCTGGTAAAGATGGCAGATTTCATTGTTTAAAAAAGTAGCTCTAATATTTTTCTGACTTTAGTCAGCTGGTAAAGAATATGAATTACCAAAATGGAGTAGTTTGACATTACCACTCAGTTTTTCTTGGCCTTTTGAATACTGATGAACTAGATTAGTACAATAAATAGATTGTTATGTTTGACATTTCATACTTGAGTGTGGGAATATTAGCATTACAAACCAAGTCAAATTGCCTTTGAAAATATTCTTTGATATTCATGGAAATTTTTTCTTTAAATAAGCTTGTGTTTTCAAATAAGCCTTTGATGTGCTTGTTCAAATTGCTTGATTATATTTTTCTAAAGTAAAATTAGGAAACTTCTAGCTTAAGCATCAGAATTTGTTTTCTCCTTCAGAGAACTGTTCATTTGATTTTAATGCTATATGTAACAGCAAATTGTGGTGGAACTTGAAAACTGCAGAGTTCAAGTCATTGCTCAGTAAAATAAATACCTTCTGTGAGCTGAAGGTCACTTCAGTGTTTACAGAGCACATAGATTTCATTTACCCTATATCTCTGGCTTTACGCATTTTTCTTCTACCTGGTTCTTTCATCTCCCTGTTTTCCTTTTTTTCTTCCTCCCCATGGGTCTCTACCTCTGTCTTATGTTTCCCCCATCCATTCTATTTCTGACCCTGCCTGCTGAACTCCAGCTTTGGGGCACTGCCCCTCCAAGAAGGGCAAAGGTCAGGTTGTGAGAATGGAGGTCTGGCTCTTCAGAAGCCGTGCTGGCAAAATAAACACTGTGAAAAGTACTGTTGCCTGGCTACATCCTCATTCTGCTTCTCAACAGAATTAGAACAAATTTTTTTATGTCATATTCAATATGTGACTCTAACACAAAAAATATAGCCCTTGAAAACAGGCTGTAGAACTGAGACTTTCAGAGTGGGAGAAAGGGGAGGGGCAAGGCAAGCACAAAGTGGGGGACGACTATGTTTTTGGTGGGCTGTGGTGCTTTCGTAGCAGGAGAGCTACGGACACAACACCTGGGGGGAACCCTGTATCTCCAAAATACAACCAACAGTACTTCAATAAAAGAATTCAGCAAGTCAGTTCACATCATCCTATGCTTAGTCTTTTTTTATTATTTGTTGGTTTTAATAATGTTTGACACTTTCTATATTTTAATGGAATATAAGTTTTTACTTAAGGAAAACAAGATGTACATGATTTTTAAATTCTTTCTGTAGTAAATGACCTTCAGAAGACACCCCTATTTTAAGATGCTATATTCATCTCTAAAATGAATACCCACCAACAATACCTAATTGTTTCCAATTGTCTTTTTTTTTTTATCATAATAGCTCATTTATTATCACCCTTATCTTCATTACTTGGTATTTTCTCTTTCCCCAACTCCTCTCCTTAGACCTAAGTTTTCTGTTTTCTTTGAGTACCTTTTCTAGCCAGTGAAAAACAGTCTTCTTCCCTTTATAACTTTACATATGTGCAGAAGCTTTCATCTACCTGTGACTTTGTTGGTAAAGTTGTTTAATGATAGATGTTTGATCTATTTATAAATTTGCAAGAGAATTTCAAAAGGAATTCTTCCTAGAAAGACATGCTAAAAGTAAAAAATAGATTTTTTTTGTAAGGAAGCACCTTAATTGGAGCTGGGGAATGAGGTGAGGAAGGATGAGGGGGCGGGTGTGATTAAGTAAATTTTTTTGCAACTTAAAATTTCAAGATATAAAAATCTGCTTTTTTCACAATCTGTGGCTTATGTCAGTTTTCCTTAACTTTTTTTATAGTCTTTCTTACATTTGGGAAAAATGACATAGATTTTGATTATATGTAAAAACACAGGAGAATTCAATGTTAGAATTGTTTAGAAAATTTTGTGATGTCATTTTAAGTGGATGACTTTTCTTGAATTACTAGAGTAAAAATAGAAAGAGGTCTAACAGACAGGCAGGATTCTGGGTGCTATGATTGGTTGGAATTTATACAGGCCTTTCATATAGGATTTAATAAAAGGTGACCTGAAACTGAGAAATGAAATCTGTAAGACAATCAGAAAAACAGTTCTTTTAAGCACACTTGTCAGTATTGTAGAAGCCCATTCCGCAACTGTAATAACTTTGTGTCTCTGTCAGAAGATGTAAGCTGTGTTCAATGATGAGGATAGCAGGGATTTAGACTTCATGTATTTTTTTTTTTTTTTCGGTCACAGGAAAGCCAGTCTTTTCAAAGAAGTAGAAATTAACATTTCTCCAGAATTAGATGGCCCTTTATTTGAGGTTATCACTTAATTCCAGCATTTTACTGTATTTGATAAACAGACCAAATATATATTTATTCGTCTGGATGTGATGAAACTTTACAAATTTCAACTGGCATTGCACTTTACTGATAAGAATGGGAGTTTGCCCTGCTCTGAAGAGATTACATGAAGTAGAATTGGAAAGCAAATTGTATTTACAAAAGATAGGATGATGTTCCTAATAGGTGTTCAGAATGGACTATTCACTCATATTCTGCTGAGCTTTACTAGAAATAACTTCATTTCAAAAAAGGACAAATCTGATTGAAGGTAAAAGCATTCCCTCTCCACAGATACCCATCCAAAGGGTTTACATTAAATTTTCCTGATGGACGTACAGCTGTACTTTATTCTGTATCTGTATAAACTGGTAATGTGGAAAATAAAAATCTAAATAGTACACTGGATTGCTTCATGCACCGACCATTTAGATTACTAGATTTATATCTACAATTTTGGAGGAGATGCTGCAGTATGATATTCTGACAATAACTGTCAAAGTCATAATACTAGGATCTATTTTCATCTTATTGTCAAGGTAAAGTTATTGAAATTCACAGTTGGTAGGTCAGAAAGATCACTTACAATCTCTTGTCATCTGTGGTTTAATGCTGACCTAAACAGCTACTGTATAATGTCAGAATTAGCAGTGTCCAGACTGCGGAAGTATAACATGCTATATGATTTAATGCATTTCCTGTCTGGAATGAAAAATACGAAAAGAAACAATGTCTAAATTTTTCTTTCTCTTTTTCCTATTATTTTAGATTTTGGATTTAGTAAAAGGGACACATTACCAGGTAGCATGTCAGAAGTACTTCGAGATGATACATAATGTAAGTAAATTTTTAAACTTTATAGCCTAATACTTTTTCTTTTGTTACTCTCATTCAGGATTTTTAGTTGCAGCTATTGAAACCACTCCAACTATTTTCAGCAGCAAGGGATTTATGACATATTAGGTAGCTTATAAAACTTATGGATGGGTCAGAGACTTGAGCTTGGATGCTACAGAACCAGAAATATTCTAACTAGGAGGCTCTATCATGAGAAAACCAGGCTTTACAAAGCTGCCACCCACCTGTAAGGATAAGACCAAGGGTCAGTATACCTCTTCTGTAATGTGCCAGGTTGTAAAACTTTTAGGCTTTGGGGTCCATGTGGTCTCTGTCACAATTGCTCAAGTCTGCTGTTGAAGCACAAAAGCTGCCTCAACAGCTTTTGCTGTAAATGAACCGGCATGGCTGTTTCCAGTAGTTTACTTACAAAAATGGACATTGGGCCCACATTTGACCCCCAGGCCTTATTTAGTCAACCCCTGGAGTAGATCTAAAATGCTTACTGCAGCTGCCCAGAAGAACCAAAGTCTTGAATCATCTTCTTTGCAGACAATTTGATTATTTTGCTTGTGGCTGCCCCCTCACTTAATCTACTTTCCAGGTCTCATATTTATCTAAATGGTAGAACCTGGTTGCACGGCTGCCTCCTGAGTATAAGAAGGTCTGCCAGTGGGTTCTGAAAGGTGTAAAACAAGGGTCACAAACTCAGGCCTGCAGATATCAGGCAAATAACCCAAAAAAGTCAAGCTGGCTGAGATCAGTATCAGAGCGTATGGTAGGAACTACAGAACACTGAACAACACATGGCCTGTTAGAGTCGTTCACAAGGACAAGTTTTAAGACCCAACAGAGATGTGCAGGTCAAATGCAGCTCACCAGCCTCCACTTTACAACTCCTGATCCTCATCATGGCTTTTAACGTCATATAGACACCAAAGAAGAAACTCAGGTCTGTGAAACTTGAAACTTTTTTCTTTGACTACATGTATATATTTTTTAGAGTCTGTAGTACTTGGCTAAGTTTTTAATCATTCTTATAATTTCACAAAAACTAAAGAGAAAACATTTTTCAATTGTGGTTATATAGTTGAATGATTCATTATTTGTTAATAAATTTCATAGGAAAATATATCTTATAATATTACCAATAAAAATAGCAATAAAAGCAAAGATCATTGATAGAGCCCTGATGCATGTCAGGCACAGCACTAAGTATTTTAGAAACATTAACTCTTCTGACCCACACTACAGTACTGTACAATTAGGTGCTATTCTTACCCTCATTTATGACTAAAGCTTAGAGAAGCTGTATAGGGTCACACTGCTTAGAGGAGCTGGAGCTTGTATTTGAACCAGGCTATCATGTAGCTCATTCAAAATTATGATCCTAACCATGACTGTGTTATAAAATATGGTTCTGAACTTGTATTGACTATTGAAGTCATTAGCATTTTCCTGCCTATGCTCAAGAAACCTGAGGCCTACCAGTTCTCTGTGACTTGCCAAGTAGCTAAAGGGTGCTCAGTAGCTAGAACCCTAGACTGCCATGGGTCTCACCTTTCTACTGTATAGTAAATCATCAGTGGGTTTTTGGAAAAATTCACTTTAAGCAAAATGACGTATAAGGAAAGCAGGTCCTTGAATAAAGTCCTTTTCTCAATGTTATCAAGAAATGAAGTCATTTTAGGTTCTGCCATCCACCTAACAGTTGAAAATACTCTTAGTCAATAAAAATAAGTATTTTTACAAAATTTAAAGGACTAAACATCAGTGAAATAGTAACATTCTCATTAGTTTTATCATATTAGGAATCTCCCCAGATAAGCCACATTTATTTGGAATTTTTGGCGGGACTCCTTCCCTTGAAGACTGAATTTTTTGAGTTTTAATTTTTAATTTTATCTATACAAGAACCGGAGTACAGGCCAGAGGTGTGGGAGGTGAGAGGATTCACTAGAGACAGAGCGGGGAACAGAACAGGCAGACTGATGAAATACACTGATGAGGGGAGCACTGGGCGATCCAAGAGAGGTCTGCTTGCCATATCGGTTTCTCTGAGGCCAGCGGGGATCGAACTGGCACTGCAGAGGCTGCAGACAGCCTCACGGCGCTACGCTCAACTGCCTGCACCACCAGGGAGGCCCCTTGTGTACCTTTTTAATTTAGAGGCCTCAGAACGCATATATTGAGGTCTACTGTTAGAAATATTTTTTGCTCTCAAATCTGCTTTTGTAATCTCTCTCCTATTAATTATCCCTACAAGAGTATTACTGCTACTGATAATTTTAAAAACTTGGCCTTGTATCAGTGAAGATGTTGAAAATATTTGAGTCTAATTCTTCCCACGTATAGAAGTACTCTAAGTTAAGCCACATATGAATCAATGAAATAAAAAGGCTATTCGTATTCACTAGATGTCTCATTATAGATTTTTAGATGTGAATATCTCATTATATTTTCTAACTTAATTTAAAAATAGAATTTTTATTGTCATATTTCTGCCATCCTGCCTGTCCCCCCTCCCAAAGCCCTGTGTTTATTTTCCTGAGGCCTCTGTGATCAAATTCACTTTAATGAAAGTTTTGAAAAATGAACCAACTAATTGATACCATTTACGGCAGCACTATGATATTACCAAAAAAAAAAAAAAAGCCATATGGAACTATCAGCTGCCTCATTATAAACTGTCATTGCAAAACCTCTTGATTAAAATCCAAACATCCCATAGGTAAAACAATATTGCTTCCATTCCTTCAAAAATCTACATTTGCTATGGCAGAAATATGAAGCCTTTTTTAGTGTGAAGGTCATTGTATGCAAAATGTGTTGATTCCAAGTAAATGAGAGAGATTCACTTACCTGTCAAAATCTGGCCTACTTGAAACCAATTTTCTTAGTATTTTTAGAGAACAAAGTGTTATACTGTATTTTTTTTTTTTCAGTTTACTCCATGTATAAATGAAAATAATCTGTATATAGATTGATATCTGAATTTTAATTGAAAATAGTGTCTTTAGAAATGAACTCTTATGTACCAAATTATTCTGGATATTTATTTCCAAATAGCTGAGCATAACTTTCCCTCAACGCACACATTTCTACAGAAATCTTTTTAACATTTATCACACATTTCCCTGTAATCTTAAACAGGATAGTCCAAATACATTTAGCTTTTTTTTCTTTAGAAATAACTTGGTCATTATTTTGGGTATCAATTAGAATACTGGGCTAGAAGCCACCATCATTTCTCACTTGGATCACTGCGATAGCTTCCTAACTCATTTCCCAGCATCTTTAACACATGCACTATTCTAATTCTTTCTCCTGCACACAGCTGCTAGAGTGATCTTTAAAGTAGAAAAATGTCATCATTTCAGTTACCTGTTTTTAAAGCCTTCCTCATTGCTCCAAAGAAAGAAATTAAAAATTATAATGTAGCCCATAAAGGCCTGTTCCTCACCCTTCTAGCTCCATCTATACAGAGCTTGTTTCATATCCCTTACTGTACTACTTTGGAACTTTCAAACTAATATGGCAAAATGAAAATGTTACAGAAGTTCCCTCTCCTAATACTTAGAATGTACAAAACATAAGTTATCAACCCCAAAGAAAAACATCAACAGCACCCACATAACAAAGAAAGAAAGAAAAGATTAAAGCAAACAGTAAAAAAAAGAAAAAAACAAAAACAAAAACCAACTACTATTCCTGAGCAGAAATAAATGAAGGGGGGGGATTCAATGTGGCTAAGTCTTTCTAACCTTTGATTTTAAAGTAAAATCTTTTATTCTGCTTAGCTTTTGTGCCTCCTCCACCTCCCCCAAAGCCTGTAAATTTTCCCAAACAAGATGGAACTTGATGGCAGCCATACATACTTCCTTCAACCAAAAACAAAACTGAAACACTTAAAAGACAACCCATCATAGCAGAAAATACAATCTAGTAAAGAGAAGAAAATGTCATAATTTTCCATCATGCTATCAAGCAACTTAATGTACCACAAGTTCAGGAAAATGAATTAAGAAAGGGTAGTTGCAAAGCTATAGAAAAAGCTGAGAAACATAGGACATCACACAGAGCCATGGTGTAGACCCTCATTTCAAAATCCTTGGCACTATTTTAGTTGGTTAATAAACATTAATATGGTAATTAATTTTAAAAAGTATATTCCATGATACTATATTTGCTAATCTTTTCATGTGAGGACAAGGTCTTATGTGTGAGTATAGGAATTTGATTATTTTTTTCCTCATATACCATACCCATAATACACCATCACTTTCCAGTTTGAATTTCTCTATATTGGAAAAGGTACATAATGATACATGGGAAGCAATATGTCCTTTTTCCTATCTTTTTGGGGATTCACCTTTTTCCCAAATGATGTGTCTTCATTGAGACTTTCCAAAACATTTCATTTAGATTTCATAGAGCCAATAATTCTTTTTACATTTATATTTCTTTGTTTGCCCCATAGCAACCCTATGACAATGCCATTAGCATTACTTCTACTTCACGGATGAGACGTCCAAAGATTACCCTATATTATTTTGTCCACATTGAAATCTAATAATTCAGTTTAATCCAGAGATTCAACCCTGGATTCCTGAATGGTAGGTGTATTAAAAATTTTAACAACTTGCAGACAGAGAAAATTCCCAATATGTAATTATAGCACAAGGTTTTAGATTCTTTTTTGCATGAAAGAATACACTGTTTTCTATAATCTTTATAGCTGAGTTTAGCTTTAGAAATAATATTCATGATGTAATTATAAATTTGATTTTGCATAAAACCGCTTCAGACAGATTTTGGAGCAATTAAGTGATCTAGTCAAATGTTCTGAATTCTAATTCAGTTACTAGTTCTGTCATTTTGCATGAATCATATAATCTCTTTAGCTTTCAGTTTCCTGCTATATATAAAAAGATGCAATTGAAAGGATCCCCAAGGTCTTTTCAATCTCTAATGTTCTTTCTATAAAATATAGAGCCTTC